CCTGTGGGGCTTTCGCTACCTTTCCCGCCCAGAGATGGAGCAAGTAGCGACAGGCAACCGCCTATACAGGACACAGCTGGAACTTATGTACATGTGCCTCAATTTGGGAGTCCCAGGCATGCTCGAGCACCCGTCTGAGCCCATCGAGGAGCACTTCGCCAGCTCCTGGAAGCTTCCCGAGATGCGCCATCTCCTGAACCAGCAGGGAGTCGAGCTGATCACCTTCGACCAGTGCACCTGTGGAGCGCGCTCGAGGAAATCCACAAGCCTGATGGCGGTATCCCTACCAACCCTCCGAGCAGAAATCAGGAGACTGCCTGGAAGTGGAAGGTGCTTTCACACGGCCTCCTACCATGCGGAGCTGGCAGGCATCAACGATGAAGGCCAGTGGCGCACCGCGCCGGCCAAGGAGTACCCGAACAGGATGTGCCAGGCCATCGCGACCGCACTGGTGAAGCAGATCAGGTGGCGCTTTGGCGAGTCGCCCAACGACGTCCAGGGGTGGCACATCGACGACGACGTGGCCCACTTCTTCCAGCCGCTCGACCACTACAAGACCAGGGAGATGGGTCAGGACTACTATCGAGGCAGCAGGCGGAACGGCTCACCGACCTGGCTGGAAGAGGCAAGGGAGTGGGCCCGGCAGGACCGACCCGACACGGCAATCGGCAGGGCCACCACCTCGACAGGAGCTGTTCGGGCACAGGCTGACAACGAGGATCGTGACGAAGCGCCTTGACGACATGTACAAAAGAATCAGAACGCAAGTCCTGAGGAAGCCCCGAATGCGTGGGAACACCTCAGGCTATGTCGCCAAGTTTTGCACAAGTTGTCAGGACGCAAGACCTGGGGAAGCCCCGAATGCGAGGGAACACCCCAGGCTCACGTCGCCACGTTTTGCATAGTGACGGACACGGCCGCCGTACAGCCAGGGCTCAGAAGTACCAGCCCGATGACCCCAACTGCACCAAGTACCAGTCAACGTTGCCCTGGTGAGGCAAGGATCAAACTTCGAGACGGGCTCGAAGGGCGGGGGGGCAGGACGAGGACTGCCCGCGCCCACCAGGGGGGATGGTGAGGGGCAGGGGGGGGGCAGGACGAGTACTGCCCGCGCCCCCGCGGTCCGCCCTAGCTCGCCACCCCCACCATTCCCATGGCGGAGACGGAGCTCCCGAGCGCCCAAGGGCGTAGCATAGGGCAGCGTTGACCTTCCTCATCGACAGCAGAAGAATCACCTGGCCTGGGGTTCGCCCCCACCGAGGGCACCGTGACCCCTAGCCATAGCGGGACGAGGCAGGGCCGCCATGAACCCTGCTTGAAGTCGGTGCATGGAGGCCAGAGTGCGCCCGCAATCTATTCCACCTACCAGCAACAAGCCGACCCCCATCGACCTTAACCAGCACGACAACTACTTCATCGGCTGAGACCCGTACCAGGAGAAGAGCCCAACGCAGTCAACCAGTTCATGACCAAGGTGACTGTGACAAGACGAAGAGCCCACCAGCAACGAGGCAGGCTCACTGGCACATCGAGGAGGCCGACCGCGACGCGGAGCGCCTCGCGCTGGGCCAGAAGGAGAAAATGCGGAAGCCGACGGCATCGCGGAGCTCCTCGCGCTGGGGGCCATCGCGGAGGCCGACGGCACCATGGAGCTCCTCGCGCTGGGGGCCAGGCGATGGAGGCCGACGGCAACGCGGAGCTCCGCGCGCTGGGCCAGCTGGCGCACAGCTGGGAGGCCAAGCGCTGAAGCTCCCGCAGACCGGCGGCAACACAGAGCTCCTGGCGCTGGACCAGCAGGTGCACCCGGCGACGCACGGCGACGCGGAGCACCTCGCGCTGGGCCAGAGGGAGCGCATCATGGAGGCCGGCGGCAACGCGGAGCTCCGCGCGCTTGGCCAGCTGGCGTACAGCTGGGAGGCCAGGAGCGGAGCCCCGCAGACTTGCGGCAACGCAGAGCTCCAGGCGCTGGACCGGCAGGTGCACACCGCGGACGCACGCGCGACGCGGAGCACCTCGCGCTGGACCAGAGGGAGCGCATCACGGAGGCCAGGGGCGGGCGGGGTCGCCGCCCTCGACGCGACCTGAGGGCCCCGCCGCCCCCGACCACGCGGACGAGCTCAGCTAGGTCCCACCGAGGTGGGTGGGCCCTCGCCGAGCCAAAGGCCAGGGCCCCGCGGGCCCTCGCCCCCTCGGGCCCTTCGCCGACCGGTGTTGGGCCCAACGGGCCCGTCTTTTTCCCTTCCCCTTTCCTCCAGGCCTTCGCTGTCCAGGATTGAAACGGGCCTCCCTCTCCCCCCCTCTGTCGGCGGCCGACGGCCGCCGCGCTGCGCTTCAGGGCTGTGACCCTTACGGCGCGTCAAATAGCGGAATAGCGGAGGAGGAGGAGGAGGAAGAAGAGGGGAGGACGACCCCCTCCCCCCCCTCCAGCTTGTGGTGGTGGTGGTGGAAAGCCGGCCCGTCACCCGCGGCGATGTGCGGCCCGGGCCGCCGCCTTGCCGCCGGAGTCCCAACGACGCCTGCGGGGCACGCGCGGGCCCCATCGGCCCGATCGGCCCCGCCACCGCAGCCCCCGAGGGTCGTCGCGGGGGGTCGGAGGCTCCGCGGGTTGCGCGCGCGGGGGGGCCTCTCGGGGTGCTCTCTTGGGGGGCCCCTCGAGAGATCGTCGCGGGGCCAGAGAGAAGACTCTCGGTCAGGGCCTCTTGGGTCGCGCACGCCGGCCCTGCTCTAGCCGACGTGAAGTGCGCGCACATCACGGACAAACAGGAGGCTGCCGAGGCGAAGCTCCACGCTATACAGCTTAGGTTTGAGTCGGGCCTGTCCCCCTACAGGGGGGCTGTCGACGAAAAATAAGAGATACCCCCAAAATAATAAATAATCCAAAAATAGTCTGGGGACTATTTTTTGAGTATGCTTTGACCTTTTTGGAGCATGTTTGGGGTATTTTTTGTTTTTCGTCGAAAACCCCCCTGTAGTGGGACAGGCCCGACTTAAGCTTAGGTTTGTCGCACCTCCCACTGCCACTCCCGACGTGCTGCGTCGCGCGGACCCTGCCAGTGCAGGAGGCCGCGCGCACTTTGCCCATGCGCTCCAGCTGGTGGGGGGGGAGGTGGGGCGCTGCGTGCGTGGTGTTTGTCAGGAGGGAAAGAAACACACAGACACAATTAATCCTCGACTCCCAGGAAGATATGGGAAAACATAGGAAGTGGGGGGGAAGACAGAAACCCAGGAAATATGGAAGATATCTGGGGATTCCTGTTATCTGTGCGTATTTACTTGTGTGCTCGTGGGCCCCTTCGGTGTGGGCGGGAAGGGGGCTCCGCCTCTGCCGAGGTGGCCCGTGCCTGCCCTGGACCGCAGCCTGTTGGATCTCGGGGCGATCGGGTGCTTTCCAGCCTCGCCAGTCGAGGCCTCCTAGATTCAGGAGGAAAAGAAACACACAGACACAATTAATCGTCGATTCCCCCGGAAAATATGGGAATATATGGGAAGTGGGGGGGAAGACAGAAACCCAGAAAATATGTGAAAAGATGGGGAATCCTGTGATTTGTGTGTATTCATTGTGTGTCCCAGGGCCCCTTCATGGATGGGGTCGGAGTAGACGGGGTCGGAGGATCGCGCTGCATCGCCGATGCATCCACGATGCGGTTCGATGCGGAGCCCGATGTTCCCCACGCCGACGTCGCCGATGCGTCTCCGGCGTTGCCGATGCATCGCCGATGCATCGGCGATGCATCGGCGATGCAGTGGCGATGCGGTGCGGTCCTCCGGCCCCCATCCACTCGGACCCCATCTGGGAGGCCTCTAGCCAGAGAGCGCTTGCACGAACGAGTGGCACATCCTTGCGCGTCCGCTCCGCTCGGCAGATCTCATCCGTGTGGCAGAGACTCCCGGCGCGCACTGACCAGCTCGTTCGGTGTTTTTTTTTCGATGGGCGCATGTTGGTACGAACGTGGTATGGCCCAACCAAGGGACAGCGCCACCCACCTTCTATGCGGAGGGGCAAAAGTTCCGTTCCCTCCGTCTCCTCTTGTGTTGAGGAGATGGAGGAATCGGAAGGGGATGATGATGATGTTGATGATGATGATGGTGATGTTGATGTTGTTGTTGATGATGATGATGTTGATATTGATGATGCTGATGATGGTTATGGTGATGGTGATGGTGATGGTGATGGTGACGATGTTGCTGATGATGGTGATGCTATAATTGATGATGGTGATGACGATGGTGATGATGATGCTGGTGGTGATGATGATGATGCTGATGATGATGCTGATGAGGATGAGGATGAGGATGAGGATGAGGATGAGGATGATGAGGATGAGGATGAGGATGAGGATGAGGATGAGGATGAGGATGAGGATGAGGATGAGGATGAGGATGAGGATGAGGATGAGGATGAGGATGAGGATGAGGATGAGATGATGAGGATGAGGATGAGGATGAGGATGAGGATGAGGATGATGAGGATGAGGATGATGATGAGGATGATGATGATGATGATGGATGATGATGATGATGATGATGATGATGATGTGGAGGAGGCGGAGGAGGAGGAGGAGGAGGAGGGTGAGGAGGCGAAGGAGGAGAGAGGAGCAGCAGGAGGAGGAGGACAAGCAGGAGGAGGAGGAGGAAGAGGAGGAGGAAGAGGAGGAGGAGGAGGAGGAGGAGGGGAAACAGGAGAGGAAGAGGAGGAGAAGAAGGAAAAGGATCATGAAAAGAAGGAGGTGGAGGAGGAGGAGGAGGAGAAGAAGAAGAAGAAGGAAAAGGAGAAGAAAAAGGCGGAGGTGGAGGAGGAGGAGGAGGAGGAGGAGGAGGAGGAGGAGGAGGAGGAGGAGGAGGAGGGGGGGAGGGAGGAAGAAGGCGGAGAGGGAGGAGGAGGAGGAGGAGGAGGAGGAGGAGGAGGAGGAGGCGAAAATGTGTTGAGGAGTGTGTCGAGAAGACGAACCTGGGGGGAGAGGAGGAGGACGAGCCTCGCCCGCGCCCCTTTTGCCCCTCAGGCCATCCGGATGCTGCAGAGGTGCGCCCGCCGCTGGAGGGAACGCCGGCGCCGGGGCACCATGCAGTCCCGGGGGAGGGTCGACTAGACCTAAGAGTGGCCTTTCGCCGGAGTGACCTTTGGTGCGGGCACGGATGGGCCCTCAGATGGCTGAAAACGAAGCGGTAGCAGTTGCTTGCGCGCCTAGGTTTGGTCCCCCCAGGCCCCCAGAAAGCCGCGCACCAAAGGTCACTCTTACACAGGGTCACTCTTGCGTGTAGCCGAGGGAAGGGGGAGAGCTTCAAGGGAGGAAAAGGTACCCATACCTCTGCCCGTTCCTCGTTGGCCCCTCTTCGGGCCTCCTCGGAGGCCCTCGTCGCCACCGTCGGATTCGCCTCGGAATGCTGGTCAGAGCGCGCCCCAGGAGAGGTCTGGGGAGTAGCGGTATCGGTACCTTTTGGTTTCCCCAGAGCTTGGTCGGGTATGGCCGCGCGTCGTCATCGCCGCCGCCGCCGCCCCGGTCTTCTCCGGCTGCCCGCGCTCCATTCCGTGCTCCTTGGGCGCGGTCCCTTGTCGCACCCCTTGGCACGTGGTGATAGGGCGGGCCACGCGTTTGGTTTCAGACTTCCTCACCACTCACGATCCTGAAACTTATGATTTGCAACAGTTTTATTGGTGGAGGGAGGGTCGTTTTCAAAATGTTGTTCTCGCCTTCGCGTCGCGCACATTCGTTTCAAAATTCTGCGAAGGTTTCACGGATGGGGGGCGGGGGAGGGTCAAAATGTGGTTCTCGCCGTAGCGCCGCGCATCTCCGTCTTTCAAAGTTTGCGCATCGTTGATGCGTTCTGGGATAACGCTGGCCCTCCTCCTCCTCATCCAGGAGTTTGTGGAGATCCCGCCCGAGGGCCATGCCCCTCGGAGAGCGGGAAGGAGGTGTTGTCCCGACTGCACCGGGACCTGCCACCACAGTCTGGCACGGCTCTTCTTGATCGTAGCTGATGTGGTGTGTAAGCGGTCTGTCTAGAGCAGGGCCCCTGCGCGTAGTTGAAGTTGTGGGATCCAAAACACAGATACCAGGGCACCAGAGACGCGTGCGAAGGCCTGTGGAAGGAGCTTGGAAGCACGGGGAAAGAGCTCCCGAAGGACCTGGAAAGAGCTTCTGACAGACCTTCTAGATAGCTTCTGGGCAGACATATTGGGCAACACTGAGAAAAAGGTCTCTCGGGACATATTGCAATCTCAGGCAAGGCGCACCGAGGTGTCCTGCCGCAAGCCGGAACCAGCTTTGGGGCTACATTGCGGCTCCGGCTTCTGAATCTGAAACTCTTAGCTCTCCAAGGAGGTATCCGGGATTCAGAATTCGTCCTCCTCTTCATCCTCGTCGGGGCTTCGCAGAGGGAGGGTTATCCCAAGGTGGGGCTGGGGAACGGGCCCAGCTGGATGCTCCCGGGTGACGCGTTTCCTTCTTCCAGGGGCCGTTTGGAGCGATTCTCCCTCCAACCCCGTCTTTGCCCAAACCCCACCTTTGTGCCCCCCCCCATCTCAGCTCTCCCAGGAGCTGTCGGGGAATCAGAATTCGTCCTCCTCATCCTCGTCGGGGCTTCGCAAGTAGAGGGAGGGTTATCCCAAGGTGGGTCTGGGGAACGGGCCCAGCTGGATGCTCCCGAGTCACGCGCTTCCTTCTTCCAGGGGCCAGGGGCCGTTTGGAGCGATTCTCCCTCCAACCCCGTCTTTGCCCAAACCCCACCTTTGTGCCCCCCCCATCTCAGCTCTCCCAGGAGCTGTCGGGGAATCAGAATTCGTCCTCCTCATCCTCGTCGGGGCTTCGCAAGTAGAGGGAGGGTTATCCCAAGGTGGGGCTGGGGAACGGGCCCAGCTGGATGCTCCCGAGTCACGCGCTTCCTTCTTCCAGGGGCCGTCTGGAGCGATTCTCCCTCCAACCCCGTCTTTGCCCAAACCCCACCTTTGTGCCCCCCCCATCTCAGCTCTCCCAGGAGCTGTCGGGGAATCAGAATTCGTCCTCCTCATCCTCGTCGGGGCTTCGCAAGTAGAGGGAGTTTTATCCCAAGGTGGGGCTGGGGAACGGGCCCAGCTGGATGCTCCCGAGTCACGCGCTTCCTTCTTCCAGGGGCCGTTTGGAGCGATTCTCCCTCCAACCCCGTCTTTGCCCAAACCCCACCTTTGTGCCCCCCCCCATCTCAGCTCTCCCAGGAGCTGTCGGGGAATCAGAATTCGTCCTCCTCATCCTCGTCGGGGCTTCGCAAGTAGAGGGAGGGTTTATGCCAAGGTGGGGCTGGGGAACGGGCCCAGCTGGGTGCTCCCGAGTCACGCGCTTCCTTCTTCCAGGGGCCGTTTGGAGCGATTCTCCCTCCAGCCCCATCCTTGCCCCACCCCCACCTTTGTTCAGAGCCCCGAATCATCCGGGGCAACTCGGGTCAGGGCTAATTCGGGCTCGTTTTTCGGGATTCCGAACCCGACTTACCCCGGGCCCGAGTTATCCCGGATAATTCGGGCGTCCAGAGCCCCGAATCAGCAGGGGTAACTCGGGTCAGGGCTAACTCGGGCTCGTTTTTCGGGAATCCGAACCCGAGTTACCCTGGGCCCGAGTTACCCCCGATAATTCGGGCGCCCACCTTTGTGCCCCCTGCCCATCTCAGCTCGCCCAGGAGCCATCCGGGAATCAGAACTCGTCCTCCTCCTCGTCCTCGGCCGTCTGCTGGCTCCCCTGGCCTCCAGCCCCATCCTTGCCCCACCCCCACCTGTGTGCCCCCCCCCCCCCCAATGTCAGCTCGCCCAGGAGCCATCCGGGACTCAGCACTCGTCCTCCTCCTCGTCCTCGGCCGTCCGATGGGTCCGGCTGCCGAGCGCTCGCTGCCGAGCAGCCCTTTTGGTGGAGGCCTCGGGGCGCCGCGGGGCGGGGCACGGCGGCTGCCCCCCCCCCCCCGCCCCTCCTCCTCCTCCTCCTCTCCTCCTCCTCCTCCTCCTCCTCCTCCTCCTCCTCCTCCTCCTCCTCCTCCTCCTCCTCCCCTCCCGCCCCTCCGCCCCCTCCCCCCCCCCCGCTGGCCTCCACCCGTTGCCCTCTTGGCTCACGCCGCCGTCTCGGCTTGCCGAGAGCCGCTCGAAGCGCATACACACGGTTCATGTCTGACTCTTCGCAAGGTCTCTGATTGTCTGGGGGGCCAAAAGATCCTTTCATCTCTGCTTGTTCTGTCCTGGGCCTCTGCCTGGCCGCTCTATAAGGGGGCCACGAGCAGCTAGAAAACGAGCCCAATGAGAAACGAGCACGATCAGAAAGGAACGACGTGTATCATGAGGAAAAGAAGCACACAGACACAATTAATCGTCGACTCCCCAGAAAATATGGGAAAATCTGGGAAGCGGGGGGGAAGACAGAAACCCAGAAAATATAAGAAAATAGGAGGAGTAGCTTTATCTGTGTGTATCTATTGGTGTGTCCTTGGGCCCCTTCAGCGCACGAATCACCCAAGGCCCACGGACCCCGCCGCGGCCCCCGTCGGCCCTAGGCCGGGCGCGCGGCGCCTCTCGGCCCGGCACGGGCTGCCGGATGCCCGGGGCCGGGACCTCTGATGGGCTTGTTTTCCACCACCACCACCATAAGTTGGAGGGGGAGGGGGTCCTCCTCCTCCTCCTCCTCCTCCTCCTCCTCTTCCTCCTACTTATGGTGGTGGTGGTGGTGGTGGAAAACAAGCCCATCAACCTCGTCCCCACGCGGCGCATAGGCCCCCCCCGCGGAGGGCCCCTCTGCGGGCGGGGGCGGCGGCGGCGCAGGGCGCGCCAGGGCGGGCAGCGGCCCCGCGGGCAGCCGCTGCACTTGGCATCGCTCGGACGTGTGCGTTTTTTTCCTCGGCGAGGACCATCGAGGAGCATCCTTGTCGGGGGCGGAAAAGAGAGGGGTGATGACTAGGGGGGGGGATATCATGGCGGGGGCCATGATATCTCCCAGCATCTCATGGCGCCTCTCCTTATTTCATTACGTCCCTGGCCCCCCCGCGGGGCCGCGCACATGCCGCCGGTCATGATTTGCACCCCCCCCTCTTGGACACCCCCCTCTTGGCGCTCCCGAAGTTTGGCGAAAAAGCCACGCACGAAACCGAAAAAAAAACAGGGAATGGACGTCCGAGCGATGGCCAGTGCACCTCCTGCCCTGGGGGCGGCTAAGAGGCGCCGCGCGCCGGCGAGGGCCGCGGCCGCCAGCGCGCGGCCTCCAGCGCGGGGCGGCGCCAGCGCGGGCGGCGGCGGCGCTCTCGAGGGCGCGCAGCGACTGCGACGGCAGCAGGGCGCAGCGGCTGCGCGCGGCCTCGGGGGGGGGGCGGCGGCGCCGCCGCCGCCGCAGGAGGGCGGGGAGCTCCGGCAGCGGGGCTGCAGCGGGCGAGCCCGGCGGGGCTGCGGCCAGGGCGGCGGCGCGCTCGTGGGCCCCGAGCGGGCCGCACGGTCGGGGGGGCCCTCTGGCCGCTGCTTTGTGAGGAGGGGCGTCTTCGACTACACGTAAGAGTGACCCTTCGCCGGAGTGACCTTTGGTGCGCGCTCACTGGGGTCCTCCGATCGCCGCGCTCGGTGCGACAGTAGCGTCTTGCGCGCCTGTGTTTGGCCTCCTCGCGCCCCCCAAAAGGCCGCGCACCAAAGGTCACTCTTGCCCAGGGTCACTCTTACGTGCAGCCGACGTCTGCCCCGAGAGGGATGCGTGCCAGTTCTGCCACCTGTTGCGTGCATGACGCGGTTCGCGGGTTGAGGCCAGGTAGATCGAAGCGCGAGAAGTGCAAAAGAGTGGTCGGCGGCCTGGCGTCCAGGGACGGTGGCATCATGGAGCGCATGGGCGAAATCTCAGAGCGTTCTTCGTTGCAGGGCAGTTGCATGCGCACCGTTATGGCTATTCGGTTGTCTTCGCGAGATGGCGAGTCTCCCAAGCGAGACGATTCGCGATAGGAGTCAGCAGAAAGGTTTGCGAAGTCGTTGACTGCGCGCTGACTCTGCTGCGGCCAGAAAGAACGATAAGTCGGATGGCATGTTATCACGGAGCCTCACCACATTGCCCGTCACACTGTAAGATACGACGGCTGTGCCAACATGCCCGTGGCCAGAAGGCACTTTCTGTCGTACGGCAGGGTTTCGTGTGTGGTCTGTCTCACCACACTGCTGGTACGTAGTATTGATGGCTAGGTGTGTCAGAGGGGCCAAGGCTTCTCTTCGGCTACAAGCCATGCAGGCAGCCGTTGTCGCAGGAAGATGGTTGGGCCGAGATGCGCCGTGATCTTGTCTTTTCATTCGTGAGTGGATGACTTCGCTGATGCGGCAACCCCGACCGGGCGCCCCAGTCAGAAACTGGCACCACTCCGTCGTCCCCCCCCCAGCTGCGCGCACGAGGGAGGAGGTGAGAAGGAGAAGGCCCTCTCAGCAGGCGGCGGGACCTCTCAGAAGCCCTCGCGCCCTCTGAGAAGTCTTCTGCGTCTTCGGGGAAGGCTTCGAAGGCTGCTCAGAAGGCCGGGGTACTTCCGGGCCTTCCGAGCAGTCCCGCCCCTCCTCGCTTCCCCCCCCCGGCGCACCGCCGAGGCTGCGCTTTTTTTTTCGGGGCGGCCGTACTTCCCTCCGTGGCGGTGCTCGGCTCTGCTGGTGGCAGTCAGGAGGAGCCGGGCGCGGAGCTCAACACACAGAAGTGCGGTGCTCCTCAGTGTGAAGGCCGCTAGAGGAGCCTAGTGGCCCCCCTGAGGGGTCGGCGTGACCTTGGCGTGCATGCGGCGTGCGGTCGGCGCGAGAGTGGACGCCCGAGGGATGTCGCGCATGGTTGTAGTACATGGCGAGCGCGCTGCCCAGACGCAGCTCGGCTGGCTTGCGCCACGTCGCATGTGCTTCCCCGCGGGATGGAATTAGGCACGTCGACAAAACAGACATGATCGCGCCCGCGCGGGGAGGAGGAGGAGGAGGAGGAGGAGGAGGAGGAGGAGGAGGAGGAGGAGGAGGAGGAGGAGGAGGAGGAGGAGGAGGAGGAGGAGGAGGAGGAGGAGGAGGAGGAGGAGGAGGAGGAGGAGGAGGAGGAGGAGGAGGAGGAGGAGGAGGAGGAGGAGGAGGAGGAGGAGGAGGAGGAGGAGGAGGAGGAGGAGGAGGAGGAGGAGGAGGGAGGAGGAGGAGGAGGAGGAGGAGGAGGAGGAGGAGAGTGAGGAGGAGGAGGAGGAGGAGGAGGAGCAGGAGGAGGAGGAGGAGGACCAGGTGGGGCGGGGCAGTGCTCCAAACGCTGCGGCTTTGGTCGCGCTTCCTGCTGGAGTGAGCGGGCCCGCGGGCGCCCGTCTGGGCGTCCCCCCCGGCAACGGTGCGCCGTCGAGGCTTTGTGCGGTCTCGTGTGGGCCCCGAGCTTGCCTCAGGGCGGCGCCGCTCTAAAGTCGCCCGGGTCGAACTGCGCGCTGCTTGCAACGTCCGCCCGCCGCGCCCCCCCTGCCCCACGACCGCCCGATTCCTCGCGGCCCACCGCGTAAAGTACAGTCGGGGCGCTGAAGAAGGAACCCTTTTCGTTGGGGAGGGGCTCCGTGTTCCTTGATTGTTTCACTGCTTGCCTTAGGTTTCCCTTAGGTATTCGATGGGAAATCAAACTTTAACTGATGGGAAACAGGGGCCTCGTTCCTTCTTTGGGGCTCCTTAGGTCAACGACCCGACTGTAGGGGCCGCGCCGCAATTCGTGTCTAATTTCACGCAGGTTTCTATCGGCTGTTGACGAATTCTTGTCGGGCCCGAGCGGGCCCAGGCGCCCCCCCACCAGTTTGTCGCGGCCCAGGCGGGCCTAGGTGGCTAGTTGTCTTGCGGGCCCAGGTGGGCCCAACTCGCCTTGAGCAGTCGGTCGCAATCATCGCCAAACGCAAGGCCAAACAACTTGACAACCACTCGTTCGGAAGTTTTATGGGGGGCGGGGTGGCCTTCGGCTTATCGGAAGGCGTTTGCCTCGGGGTGGCCTTATTTCCATCGCCAAAGTTGGCGGCCAAACATCGTTCGGGTTTGGGTTGCCCGTTTCGTCGTTTCGGATGCGCGCCCGTCAATTAATTTGGGCGCTGCCGATTTTGCTCGTCGCGAGCCCCCTCCCCCCCGCGCGCGTGCAACGATCACGTGCCGCCCAAACCCGGCTTCGGACTCGCGTCAAACTTCCCTTTAACGTCTGTCCCCTTTTCGCCCTCCCCACCCCGTCCGTATAGTGCGATCGATACTGGGATCTGTATTGAGATCGGTGATGTAACCGGTAGCGAAATCAATCGATTGGAGTCGATCGCGAGGTCGCATTCATGTGGTGTGAGTTCCATGGCGGCCGTGTCGCCTCCATTACAGTCACCATTATTCATTCTCACCATCAGTGTCATCGCGCAATGTCGCCATCTCATCGCCATCATAATCATCGCAGTTGTTGTCGGTGGGTCTCCTTCCTCCCCCCAACTTCCTTCTTACCCGAAGAGTGGCCGCATTGGTAATTATGGGGGAAAGGGATGGGGCAGCAGCGTCAGGGCCAAGAGCCAGGAGTGCGAGAGCAGAGGGCGGAGCAGGATCGTAGTCATGAGCGGGAGCAGGAACACAAGCAGACGCATGGGAGATGAAGGGCGAGATAGAGAGAGAGGGAAACAGAGAGCGGGAACAAAAGGAGAAGGAGGCTAGGTGGCGCGTGCGCCCCCAGTGGTTCGCGCACGCGCGTGATCTGTGTGCAGCAGGCGCTGTTTCCGCGTATCCGCAAGCGCCCCCTGTGTGGCATACATGCGGCTGCCTTGTTGTTGTTGTTGGTGGCGGTGGTGCTGTTGTTGGTGTAGGTGTTGGTGTTTTGGTGTTTTGGTGTTTGCGTTGGTGTTCTTGTTGCTGTTGTCGAATTCCAGTTTGGGTAAAAAATAAAGATTGTCGATCCCTCCTCAGGTAACAAATGCAAGTTTTCAAGTGGAGCAGTTTCCAGGGGCTCGCACCCTTTGTTCTGATACAAGGGAGCGTGAGGTGTCACCAAACTGTGCCCCTGGCTCCCAGTTTACAACAGCGGTTCCCGCGATGTATTTGGACATCGCGCTACCGTTCGGGACCTCCTCGCGATTCATGCGGGACGCACGCTTCAGCAACCCGCCTGCCCTTTGTCCCTTCCTTCCATCCGTCCTCTCTTCCCCTGCCTCAGGGGCTGCACGAAATACATGGTGCAGGTAGGAACGATATACCCCTAAGGGAGTACGATAGAAGACGAAGAAGGCGGGTATCCAGGGATTGGGGCATACGTGTTGAATGGCACGCGAGCAGGTAAGAGCAAACAGCCTTAAACTGATTGTTGTTGTCGTTGTTGTTCGTGTTCTTATTGATGTTGCTCCTGTTGTTGCTGCGGTTGTTGCTGCTGTTGGTCATGCCGCTTCTGCAGCATGCCGTCGCCCGAATGTGCACATCTTGGCTATTGCCGTCGGCGGCTGCACAGGGAAACGGAAATGGTTGTGCGGAGGTCATTGATGGCTCGTGCTTTGCAACACAGCCCCTACGGGAAGCCGCTGAGCGACGAGAGGCTGCTGCAACACGAGCAGGATTTTGGAGGGCACCTCCTCTTCCTCCTGCTCCTGCTCCTCCTCGTCCTCCTCCTCCTCGTCCCCGTGCTCATCTCCTCCTCCCCCTCCTCCGTTTCCGTAGCCAATTTGGCTCAAGCCATTTTGGTTCAATCCGTTGGTTTTCCGAAGTTCAAACGTTACACCCTCGATGTCTGTCGCACCCAAATGTGTCGTGTGCCTCTGTGCCATGCCATTATTCTCTCTGCAAACGATGGCTGCCTGTGTGCAGATGTTCTGCCAGCTCATCGTGGCGATGGGCTCTGGAATCGAGGTCCACAACACTGCTCAGGAGGGGAAAAAACACACAGACACGATTAATCGGCGATTCCCAGAAAATATGGGAAAATATGGGAAGTGGGGGGGAAGACAAAAACCCAGAAAATATGGGAGAATATGGGGGATATTCTTATTTGTGTGTATTTATTTGTGTGTCCCAGTTCCCCTTCAACTGCTGCCGCGCAGCAGTGGGCAAACGACCACCTGGGCCTCAACGCTCGTGCGTTGCGCATGTTCAACTCGTTCTGCAACTCCCTTCGGCATCGGCTATAAGAAGAATAAGAAGAATACTAATAATAATAATAATAACAATAATAATAACAATAGTAAAAATAATATTAGTAATAATAATAATATTAATAATAATAATAATAATACTAATAATGATATATCGTCCACCCTGCCCGTCCAGAGCTCTCTTGACGTTCGTGCTGCGCGTCCCTGACGCAACTCTTCGCCAGAGGGTGTCGTTTTTGGAGGGAGCTGGCGGCCACTGGGCGCAAACCGAGACGGAAGCGTGACCTGGTGGAGGCAACCTGCTCTGATATGCAGGAGTTGTTGCAGAGGGAACTCGGTGCACGGCAGGCCGCTGTGAACCAGCAGCTGGAACATTTGGCCATCCACCTGAAGTACGCTCGATACCCGAGCGCTTACTGATGGATGGCTGGTGTCGGCAGCCAGATGCGTCACAGTCGGGGGAGGTTCGGCAGCCAGATCTGTGTTCATTGCCGTTCGCTGCTTTACCGCCCACTGCTTCTCTGCGGCCAGGTGCGTTCCATCATCCTGGCCGTGTCTGCCAACAGCCACATGGTCGGCCGATGGGTGGCCCAGCGCGAGCTCTTCAGCAGACAGATGGTGCTCAACAGCCTGGTGGTCACGTGCCCCTGGCCCGAGGTGCCCCCAGGATTTTCAAGGAGGCCCCAACGGCCTCCAGGGCACCCCTCACGAGGCCCAGGGGGCCCCAGGGGCTCCAACATGGAGCGAAACTCTGGGGACACCTTGGGCCCGGGGCACTTCTAGCAAACCCAGATATGAGGGCAGCGGAAGCTCTGCGGAGGTTCTGCTGCCCCCTCTCATCGAGGATCAAACAGAATTCTGGAGGTGGTGGAGGAACAGGTGGCCGTCTTTTGCAGCTGGGTGCCCTTCAACTTCCATGCCGTGCGCTTCCACAGCCAACTGGTCTTCGGCCGCCAGGTGGTGGTCCACAGCCGCCAGATGGGGGTCTCCAGCGGTATCTTCTGCAGCCTGGTGTTCTACAATAGCCAGCCGCCCTGATTCAGCCAGATGGTGTCCTTCAACAGCAGCCTGACGGCGCAGTTCATCGGTCCGGCGCGCTTCCACAATTTGGTATGCTCCTTCGGCCAGATGGTCGGTTTCGACAGCCACGTGCGTTCCATGTTTCAGATCATGCGCGTCCACATCCAGGTGCAATTCGGCCGCCGGGTGGTTGTCCACAGCAGCTTGATGGATGTCTCCAGCAGGTTCTTCAACAGCTGTTCGGCCAGATGGTCTTCAACAGGCAGGTGTTATTTCTGAGCCCCGAATCATCCGGGATAATTCGGGTCAGGGCTAACTCGGGTTCGTTTTTTCGGGAGTCCGAACCCGAGTCATCCCGGACCCGAGTTACCCCGGATATTTCGGGCGTCCAGAGCCCCGAATCATCAGGGGTAATTCGGGTCCGGGTTAATTCGGGTTCGTTTTTCGGGAACCCAAACCCGAGTTACCCCGGACCCGAGTTACCCCGGATAACTCGGGCGTCCAATTATTCTTCAGCCAGGTTCTTCAACAGCCAGGTGGCCCTCGTCGGCCAAGTGGTGTTCTCTGCGCTGGCCCGCCTCGGGCGGCAGCACCGCCTCGTACTCCGCTTCCTCCCGCGCCACATATACGCCGTGCTTCGAGACGTCCGCGGCCCGCCCGGATGGCACTGCCGGTGCGCTGGTCGCTGTTGGGGCCCTGACCTTGGTTCTCCTCCTCCTCCTCCTCCTCCTCCTTCTCCTCCTCCTCCTCCCTCCTCCTCCCTCCTCCTCCCTCCTCCTCCTCCTCCTCCTCCTCCTCACATACGCCGTGCCTCGAGACGTCCGCGGCCCGCCCAGATGGCACTGCCGGTGCGTGGGTCGCTGTTGGGGCCCTGACGGAGGCCCAAAATGACACCGTCGCTTTTCTCGCGCTGGTCGTTTGGGCGCCGCGTAATGGGGGGGTCATAAATGGGGGGGTGTCGCGGGTGGTCCGAAAAGGTACCCAAACGGTACCTAAACGAGCCCCCTGGGGCTCCGGAGGGCCCGAAAGGGGCACGAAAGGGGACCTTTTTTGACCCCCCCATTTGTGACCCCCCCATTAAGCCACGCCCAAGTCGTTGTTGGGGCCCTGTCCGAGGCCCAAAATGACACCGTCGCTTTTCTCGCGCAGCAGGACACGCACGAGCCGTTGCCCGCCGTGATGGAGGACGACCTCACCACCCACCAAACCACCCCAACCCAACCCGAAGGCCTCAATTCGCCCTCCATTTCCAGTGGGGGGGGGGTCCGGGAACATCGAAAAAACACATATGGAGCCCATACCCCCCCCAACCCGAAATTCGGGTCTTCGGGTTGGGTTGGGGTGGTTTGGTAGGTAGTCAGGACCTTCCTGTGCACGCTTGCTGCATGAAGGAGACGCTCAATACTTTGGCGGCGCTGCTGGTGCCAAGATATCCCTTATGGGGGGGGGGGAGGGAGGCGTCCTCTCACGGCGCTACCGTCTCTTGACCTTGGCTCGCCTGAAGTCGACGAACTAGCGCGTTGTCAGCGCACGATTGTCGACATGCGTGCCCAAGGCGCAGCAGCTTCTGCAATTGATGTTCGCCTGAGCGAACTGAAGCACAACGGGCGGGTTCTTCAGACCAGTCGCGTCCACGCAGGCTCCAACGACCGCCACTGCAGCATCAGCATCAGCGACATGACGTTGGCATCCGAGCCGCATTTTGGTTTTTAAAAAGGCAAGTCCGCAACTTCTTCGGCTTCTTGGACGCTTTCCAGCATGCGCACATGCGCAAAGTTCAGCTCGCCACCCATGGGCGGTCTCAAGGGAACGAGTCTGCCCTGCGCCCGCTCGTTGAGAGGCTGGCTCCGCTTGGGCTGGTGCTGACATGGTCATTCTCTTCTGATGTGCAGTTGCGGGAGGTCGCTTTTGGCAGTGGAGTCCTCATCTCGTCTGACCCGTGGCCGTGAGTTGTTCAAAGGCATTGGTGTCGATGGCGTGCGGGCTTCTCGCAGTCCGACGATCATGTTCTACCAGCTGGAGGTCGCTACGGTAGCGAAGTCTTTCAAGGTGGTTGGAAACATTGTTGTTGATGCTCGGGGGAGTAGGGGCGCTTGCTGTTGTTGTGTGGACTGACCTTGGCCGCCTCGACGCCCTGGTCATGCACCTAAAGGACGGTCGCGTGGCTGGCAAGTCGCAGGGACGACAGGCGAAGGCATGAAAATCATACCGCATGACCCTTGAAGGCAGGAAGAGTCTGTCCTAGTGGAGTTGACGTATTCCTTTGCCAACATGTGCCGCGAGGGCGCGGCGAAGGACGGCCACGAGTGCTTTGCCCAATACTTCGCTTACATCGCAGAGAGTCAAAACAAGGGCCCCCTCAACCCCGAGTTCTTCAAAACCGGGACACGAAGGTGACCGAACTCGGGCTGTCTCCTTGAGGGCCGCAAGCCGCCGAACAACGTTTTCGTGGATTGAGGCGTCCGCTTCCCATCTCCATGTCCGCCCCTCTTTCTTTGCGCTTTGCCCTTCTCCCGCTTCCGCTTCCGCTTCCGCCCTCACTTGTATTACAATGTAGTTCAATAAGATTGGATGCGCGTGCTGGTGCTTGGATGCGGCCGAAACGTTCAGGCATGTGCGGCGGGAGCAGGGACCCTCTCAGTGGCGTGGGCTCCTCCCCTTTGTCCTGCGTTACCTCCTCCCTCTTCCCTCCTCCCCTTTTCATCGTCCCCCCTCCTCCTCCTCCTCCTTCCTTTCTTCCTCGTCTTCCTCCCCGGAGGAAGCGCAGGACAACAAATGTTTGAGGCCTGTCCTGTTTCAAGCACTTCCGAAATCTGTCTTAAGATTGAACGACGGTTGGGGAGGCGAAGATTGTTGTTTGACCTCCTTCGTTGTTGGGGCACGCTCGTATGATGTCTTCCGTTTTCGATTGGCGGGGAGGACATTCCCATGGGTTCTTGTTGGTATCCTTCATCGCAGTCACATTGGCCATCAGTATGACTCCCCCATATGTCAGCATACGAGGCCGTCCCTATAGATGCCCATGACTGTCTGCTGGATGCGTCGGCGTGGATTGCTGCGCACATGCTCGTTTCTATGTTTGCGCGTTTGTGATATTATCGATGCCGCCTACTGCGAACCACCGCTGCCCCCTGCCTTTTGGAAACGCCCATGTGGCCAAGCGTTGGGTCAAAGTTTGGCCAAGTTATCGGGCTATGTGTTCCCCCCGTTGTTGTGAAACCCCTTGGGGGAACACATGAGGGAGACATAGTAAAGGGGGGGGAGCGAGCAAAAAGGAGGACGAGGAGGAGCGAAAAGGAGTCATGCTGAGATCGTCCTGGGGCCCCCTGGTGGGGGGGTGCTGTGAGAGCCTGATGGGGGCTTATGAGTGGGGCCTTTTTTCAGATACGGGAAGGCTTCTGCACTCCTCCTCGTCCTCCTCCTCCTCGTCCTCGTCCTCCTCCTCCTCTCTTCCTCCTCCTCCTCCCTGCTCATCCTCCTCCTCCCTGCTCCTCCTCTTCCTCCTCCTCCTCATGATCCATACTTCCTTCGACTCCATCCTCCGTATCCTCCCATTCCTCCTCCTCGTCCTCCTCCTCGTCCTCCTCCTCGTCCTCCTCCTCCTCCTCCTCATCCTCATCCTCATCCTCCCCCCTCCTCATCCTCCTTCCCTCAATCCTTCCCTGTCCCCCTCCCCCTCCCATCTCTCCAGGAGATCCTGGGAAAATGCCGGCAGTTCGCGGCGTCCTCCAGGGCTGGTCGCAGCGACGAGGACTGGGGGAAGCAGGCGGAGGCCGCTTACCAGGCGTGGCCGGGGCGGGCAGGGGCTTTCCATATCCTTAGTTGCCTCGATACGCACGTTTTGATACGCAACTCCTACCGTGCTCAAAGCGTCCGTGCCAGTACGTTGCGTGTTGGCTCAACGTACTGGCCCACGTTTTGGCGAAACTATCGCGTCAGACCCACGATTTCAGGGTACGTGTTGGGCCCGTATCAATACGCTACGTGTTGCGTGTTGCGTGTCCGGGCGGCTAAGTTCATATCAACATGTGTGACGAAGTCTCAGGCCAGCCTTCAGTCGTACAGGCGAACCACTATCCGGGCTTAGGGGTTCCGTAGTAGCTTCTTCCTTCAGGCAAAACTCAAATCGAGCCCCGTAGAATTTGCAATTTGAGTTATTGATGCGCCGCGTACGTAACCCCACCAGCGCATTCCGAACCGATGCCCACGCAAGTTGTCTTCGGAGGCCTCCTGGAGCCATCCTGGGATGAAGTTGAGGAGGAGGAGGAGGAGGAGAAGGAGGAGGAGCAGGAGGAGGAGAAGGAGCAGGAGCAGGAGCAGGAGCAGGAGCAGGAGCAGGAGCAGGAGCAGGAGCAGGAGCAGGAGGAGGGAGGAGTGAGAAGGAGGAGCAGGAGGAGCAGGAGGAGGAAAATGAGAAGGAGCAGGAGGACGAGGAGGAGTGAGAAGAGGAGAAAGGGGAACCATTCGCAGACCTTTGGCTGACGGAGCCTCCTGGAGGCGTCGAGGAGCCGCCTGGGGTCCTTGGTGGAGGCAGCTTGGCGCCCCCCCTTTGGGGCCCTTTTGGGGGTGCGTGGGGCTTTCTTGAGGCTCTCTGGGGGGAGCTCCGAGCACTCCTCCTCCTCAACCACCTCCTCCTCCTCCTCCTCCTTTTCCTCCTCCCTCCTCCTCCTCCTCCTCCTCCTCCTCCTCCTCCTCCTCCTCCTCCTCCTCGGGGCGACCGTGGGCCCCGCGGCCAAAAAAAGGCATCCTCGACTCGCCCCCCCCTGCGTGGCGCCTGCTCACGAGGCCCAGCGCCGGCTCCCCGAGGCAACCGACTGGCTCGGCGTCTGCTTTTACGAAGGATTGCAAAAAAAACCTGAACGAAGGATTGCAAACAAACCTGAACGAAGGGTTTTTGTTGCAATCCTTTTTTGCAATCCTTCGTTTTTTGCAATCCTTCGTTTTTTTTGCAATCCTGGGTTTTTTTTGCAATCCTCAGCACATCCTTCAGGAGGGAAAAACACACACACAGACAGACACAGACACACACACACAGACACAATCCACCGTCGATTCCCCCGAAAAGATGGGAAAATGTGGGAAGTGGGGGGGGGAAGACCAAAACCCAGAAAATATAGGGAAATATGGGGCATCCTGTTGTTTGTGTGTATTTATTTGTGGGTCCCAGGGCCCCTTCAATCTTCCTGCCTGAATTCAGGCGATCGCAAACATGGATTAAGGTAAGGAGGCGTGGACTAGCGAAGGGCCCCGTTTCCATGGGACATCGCGGATTTCCGCCGCCGAGCGAGGCGGCGCCGGCCTCACTTTGGGGGAGGGCGCCTCCCCCGGGGCATGGATTTGGCGACCGCGCGCCACATCCATGGATTGCTGATGCATGTTTGCGCGCCCCCGGTGAAAGCGTTGCAGGCACGCCTTCAACGCTCCTTCACCCCTAAGAGATCTCCAGAAGCAGCGTCCACGCCCGTGGACGCAAGAATCTGGACTGGACTTTGGGCTTCGATGCTCGTTTTGGGGACCTTTCTGGGCCCTACCTAACAGATCTGTTCGACTCAGGCTCGACTCAAGTTCGACTCAGATTCGACTCAGGTTCGACTAAGGTTCGACTCAGGTTCGACTCAGATTCGACGCAGTTTCGACGCACGAGTGGAGCGAGTGGCTCCAGGAAGGTCCCCAGAATGAGCATGCAATTGGGCGTTTGCTTGGAGTTTTTGGTTTGGTGTAGAGAGTGTCGCAGTTGGACCTGGACTACCGTTTGAGAAAACGCTAGGAGCGAAGTTCCTTTCCTGAACGGAAAATGCGCTTCCATCTGAGCTGGGGTGTACAGTCGGGGCCCTGAAGAAGGAACCCTTTTCGTTGGGGAGGGGCTCCGTGTTCCTTGATTGTTTCGCAGCTTGCCTTGGATTGTCCTTAGGTTTTCGATACGAAAGCGAAGCTCAACTTATGGAAAATAGGGGCCTCGTTCCTTATTTAGGGTTCCTTAGGTCAACGCCCCGACTGTACCGTTTGAGAAAACGCTTGGAGCGAAGTTCCTTTCCGGAACGGAGAATGCGTTTGCAGCTGAGCTGGGGTGTACAGTGAGTGGTTTGAATAAGGAACGCTTACTTTTCAAAAGGGGCTCGGTCGTTCCTGAGGCTTGCATGCGTTACTTATCGCTCCCGATGCGTTATGCATTATTTGCTCATCGTTCCCTATGCGTTACTCCTTGGAAGACAGGGGCTTCGTTCCTTATGTATCGCTCCTTAGGTCAGGCCGATGAGTCTATCTTCTCCCGATGCGCCGCCAGGGCGCGGCCCTTGCCTGCCTGCCTGCCCCCTTTTTCCTCAGGTTTTCGATACGAAATCGAATCTCAACTTATGGAAAAAAGGGGCCTCGTTCCTTATTTTGGGTTCCTTAGGTCAGGCCGATGAGTGTATCTTCTCCCGATGCGCCGCCAGGGCGCCGCCCTTGCCTGCCTGCCTGCCTGCCTGCCCCCTCCCCCTCGGAGGCTCGTGACGCCTGGCGCGGGGCCTCCCCCTCGGAGGCTCGTGACGCCTACGCGTTATTCCTTGGAAGACATGGGCTTCGTTCCTTATGTATCGCTCCTTAGGTCAGGCCGATGAGTGTATCTTCTCCCGATGCGCCGCCAGGGCGCGCCGCTCTTGCCTGCCTGCCTGCCTGCCTGCCCCTCGGAGGCTCGTGGCGCCTGGCGCAGGGGCCGCCGGCGATCCGATCCGCTGCGCTTCGCTTCGCTCGCGGGGGCCGCGATGCCAATTCGGCGCGACCCATTCCTCGATACATGGCCGCCTCCGGCGCCGGGAGGCGCCGGGAAAATCAGCCCTTTGCTATCCCCCCCTTTCGCCCGACCCGACTCGGAGGTTGACAGGCCTCCTACCCTGGCACGTCGATTGGTGAATTGGCCGTTTTCGGTTCGCGAGAGGGCGTCGCGGCCGGCATTTTTGCGGGTCCAGATCCGTCGGTTTCGGTCCCAGGCCGTTTTCACAGAGGGGAGGTTTACAGTCGGGGCCCTGGAGCAGGAACCCTTTTCGTTGGGAGGGGCTTCGCGTTCCTGAAGTGTTTCACAGCTTGCCTCAGGCTTGCCTTAGGTTTCCGACCGGACATCGAAGGTTAACTGATGGAAAAAGGGGGCCTCGTTCTTCATTCAGGTTCATTTAGGCTTCCAATCCTGGCATCGCTCGGACGTGTGCATTTTGCCTTCGGCGAGGGCCATCGAGGAGCATCCTCGATCATCTCGCGAAAAAGCCACGCACGAAACCGAACACAGCACAGGGAATGGACGTCCGAGCGATGGCAGGCAATTCGATGCGATCCGGCTCTGTTCACCGGCATCGGCCAGGGCCAGCCGGAAGCGGGGCGCGGCGCTCCGATACGGATCCGGTGTGGGGCGCTGCGCCGGCGCCCCCGATCCGCTCTCGATCCGATGCGATGTCGCGATCCGATTCGGCGCAGACCTGCCTGGGTGCCGAGGGCACGCGCACTAGCCGCCTGGGCTCGTGACACCTGGGCTTACCAGCCTGGAACATATCCCTATCCCTATGTTTGACACCACCTCACCTCGATGCCGATCTTAAGGATTCCCTCAGTTCTTGAGGGCCTATCCCTAAGATTGTCCTCGCTTTTTGCTCCCCCATCTTAGGGATAGGATACATTCGAGGCTGGTTATGGGCCGCCTGGCATCGCTTGGACGTGTGCATGTTTCTCTCGGCGAGAACCATCGAGGACCATCCTCGACCAACGAGCCAAAAGACACACGCACGAAACCGAAAAATGCACGGGAAAGGGACGTCCGAGCGACGGCGAGGCCACGCAAAGAAAAACGGGGCCGTCAGCGCCGACAGCGGCGCGTAAGCTGCCCGCGCGAGGTCGCGCGGGCAGCGCCCTCGTCGCCCACGCAGCGTGCTGCGCGCTGGCGGCCCGCGCAGGCGGCGGCGTGAGGCTGTTGCGTCCTCTCGCACGAGGCCCGGTTTTGGTCGCCGCTCGCCCGGGGTGTCGAGGGCACGCGCATTCGCCGCCTGG